TAGACCACCCCGTGAAGTAGTGACGTTCTCGTTAAGGTTAGGCCCGGGCCAAAGGAAAACGACGACCTATCGAGAAGCGGGTAGAATCAATGGCCGGGTGCGACGCGATTTCTACAGTTAAAAACTATAACTACACAAAATTTCAGGGCTGCACACAAAGATTTTATTTTGGTTAAAAATTAACGTGTTTGAACGCCCGCCTACGCTTCCAACCCCGGAGCGACTTCTAGCTGCAGCGCTATGGGCTTGTCACCTAGTAAGGAGTGTTTTTAGGTACAAATTTTCACTGCACCTTATCATTTCTAATTTTGGTAGCCAGCTCTTAGACTATAAGGCCCATGCAGCCAAGAGGACCTCGGGGGCTGCACCGGTAGTCTCCTCCAGCCATCAATGCAAAAACTATAGATTTCAAACTACTTATCCAAATCTTACAATAGGTAGCCGTTCAAAAATATGCACACGACAAATGACATAAATGAAGACAATATTATTTTTGAATAGCCTAGGTTGCATAATTAAATTATGGAACTATACAACTGGTTGTTTGTAAGGCACTTTCTGCATCTGTCCTTCACTATTTTCACAGTTGAAAATAATGGTTTATGCAGATTGGGATAACAGATGGCATACAATTTTATTCTACAGATGGCACAAAATTTGATTCTGGTCAAAAAGTTCGATCGGTTTACTAACTTCAGTTCGATTGTGTATTATTTAACCTCTCGAGGATCGAATTTTAAGAGGATTTTTTTTGCTTTAATCGAATATGCACACACCAAAGAATTATTTGACAAATTATTATTATACATTATTATACAAATATGTTATCTAACTTTAATATTGTATATTTTTTAATTCTAAAAGGTAATCGTAAATGTGTCAATATTCCTGAAGTTTTATAATCAGTGTATGACAATGGACACTTAATCTTATTTTTTAACTAAAAATTTGTAAGATCGATTTTTCCAATTTTCGTCTCTTTCGCGTTTTACAAAATTCGCTAAGTAGAAAGTGCTTCGATTCTGAAAGTGTTGTTGAACATTAGTTTGATCAATTTTTTGCGTCGAACGAGGAGAAATTTTGTAACCGTGGAATTATGAATTTGTCCAAAAGATGTGGGAAGATGATCGAACAAAGTGGAAGATATCTTATTGAATCAAGACATTTTCTTGTCTAAGAAAAATCGCTTTTCATTTACGCGTTAAAATTCGAACGAACTTTTAGGCCAACCTAATAGAAACACCAACGTCTGTTCCTCGCATGGTGGCACTGATGTTCTTACTACATCAATATAAATTTTGTACCTCTGATTATATATCAGAATAATGCCTTTATATATAACGTAACACAAACCTGGATTATTGGATATTTGATCTTGAGGATATTATACTTAGATTAGAAGAGCTTTCAAAGATTACCTTAAAAATGGACGGTAAACTCAACTTTTTTCTGCCACTTTAAATTACCACGATCGACTGAATTTATTCTTTGCAAACTACCAGTTGCTCGCTAGCATTGGCAGCCTCTACTCTAATTTAAAATACACAGGTCATCGTGGAAAGATTTTTATCAAACAGATTTGTTGTACACGTATTTGTCAAATTGCTGCAAATAACGTGTTAAAATGTTTCATAGTTATCGTTTCATGGATAATTTCTTTAGTTCCAAAGAGGTGCAATTAGTTTTTCGTATATATTTTAAAAGCTACTTTATTTTACTAATATGTAGTTACTTTCAAAAGTAACGATTTGTGTTTTATGTAATCAATTGTTTACGTACAGTATGACATGAAAACTTTGAACTTTAATTTTTTGTGAGAAGTGCATATTCCTGATTGCTTCATTATTGTTGAAAGGTCCTCAACATTACCAGAAATAAATATAAGACTGGTGAGAAATAATTTCGCACAAGACGACTGTGTAGAGTATAGATTAAAGTCTAAAGTTCAAAGTTGAGTTCAAAGGTTTCACGTCATGCCGTGAATAAACTATTGACTGTCTAAAAAAGACACGCGACACCTCTATTAAAACGAATTCTCTTACTTTTATTTTCGGCTATTATTTTTGCACTAGGCGTAATGATTTTTCAAATATCTAAGAAGAAGTGACTTTGTATAGCTGTCGAAAGGTATAAAGAACTATTGATACAAGCAGTGTGTGCTCAAGGATGCTACGAACCCTTAGCAATACTAGGTAATTGACGGTGCTCTCTCATACCTAAATAATATTTATTAATTTTTAATATTTATTAGGTTTAGAAATTAATTTTGTGCCTTTGCATTTACACAATTATAATTTTAGTTTAAATAGAAAAGTTTACTGGCCATTTTGCTACACTAAAGTACCAACCTTGATAGTAATTAGACATACTGATTGCTTTTCTTTAATAGTTCTATTTTACATCGCATCTACTGCTTGGTCATCAGCGATGGATTTCATTAAGTTTTTATTTAGTTAGTGGAACTGTATATTATTGTAGAGATTAGTGGCTTTGAGATTGTTTATAGTGCTTAACGCATTCGATATTTCGTTTTTACAACTATATGTGGTATTTTGGAGGAAAGATACAAAATTGTATGGTTTCCCTTTATAAGAGAATTAATCTCTATACCTAATATATTCAATTTCCAAGATTTCTATTCTTTAAAATAAATGGAAATTTTTGTATCTAACCCTTTGCACTCGAGAGGTGACTCTCAGTCACCATTAGGTTTCACGCAGCAAATCTACGATACCTAATGTTTCTTTACGTTTAATTTCTTTGGAGCTCGAAGTGTCAATAAAATGATTGTCGATGAGACAATCTAGATAGCTTAGAATTCATGGCAATAGAATGCTAAGAAACATCTCGAGTTGCTGGTAGATGCCAGAAAAAAGGCCTCGAGTGCAAAGGGCTAATATGTTGTACGAGAAAAATAAAATAATCAGGAAATTAGAAAATTAGAAAATTAGAAAATATTCCACATATACTGTTTTATACATACACTCGTTGCACATCGTTCATAACGATTTGACTTGATGAAAGTATACAAGTGTGGAAAATAAATTTTCCCAGTAAAATCTAAAGTGACCTAACTATGGGTGGAAAGGTAAGGGTCGCTGCGCGGTCGCGCAACCGCGCAGCTTAGAGGAAACATTGACCGAGGGAGCTTACTTTTGAGCCTTACATTACATACGTATGACCACAAATCAACGGAATGGACTTTACTAAATTTGTGAACTTTCCTTTAATTGCGAATCGATATTTTATTCATGTTTCGACTGCTCTATTCATTCAAGTTCCTAGTCAACTATATTTATTGGTTATTTATAATCGTTGCGAAGGATTCTTGAATAATCATTGTGTACAACTATAGCATTAAATCCATAATGTCTTTATATTCGATTGATGCTACAGTTAGGAACATAATTAGACTCGCGTTCGTGGACTTGCATTACTTTCGTAGCGAATGCTTTCCTCGTTCCCGTTAGAAATTTAATCATGTTTATATTAAAACTGCTTCGAAAACAAAGTCAACATGGTTTTCAAACATGCTCGTAGGAGCTTACTTCTGTCGAAAAATGAACTCCACTTTCGTAACGAATAGCTCTCAAAGCCTCGTTTCCTTATTGCTCCCATACTTCCATGATAGATGAACGCTTTTCCAAAAGAGTCTTTAGGATTATGTTTTTTAATAACAAAGTACAGCTGTTAGTGTGTTTACAGTGGACCTTTAAATGTTATCATTTATCACGTTTAATTATTTAAAGATTGCTATTAAAATTGTTTGTATTCCATATCATTTGTTTTCACTTCATTGGTTTACATATTTATATAAAATTATAGAGCAAAATGGTTATTCTATTGTATACAATAATATCGTAGACGATATTAATTGTATTATATAATATTATATACAATTAATATGTCAATATATAATTACTTTTGGTATCAGTTAAAACACGAACAAAAATTTGCATGAGACTTGAGTAGTTTGCGTTCACAGGTTGAGCAAGTCGTTATCGCGTTATTTCGTTAATATCGCTGCGATAAGAATCGTTCAGCGAGATTAAAATTCCCCTTTACGTTTCGTTGAATTTTTATGTATATAAATTAATTACTAGTTTCTAAATTCGCATTGCAAACTGCACTAAAAGTGCCTCGACATTGTTGTTTTAATCATACACAAATGGTATGGAATACAAACAATTTTAACAGCAATCTTTAAATAATTAAACGTGATAAATGATAACATTTAAAGGTCCACTGTAAATACACTAACAGCTGTACTTTGTTTAGTACTTTGCTAAGCTGTACTTTAAAAAACAAAATCCTAAAGACTCTTTTGGAAAAGCATTCATCTATCATGGAACAAACTTAAAAACTACGCTATAGACTCGTCTGATAGGTACGACACCTGTTTCCTATTTCTCACGTCGTGTATATTATTGGTACAATAATTAGTTTTCCGTCGAAGAAGGTTAATAAACCTCTCGCAAATCTGCATAGCTTCATAGTAACACAGAAAACTGGTCAGTATTTCCCTGCTATTTAAAAACGTCATTTGTTTGAAACAATTCCAAAAGAATCGTCGAAACTATTATTTTCAAACCGAAATGATTTTGATGTGGCAGACTTCTGCCTTCGGCATAGCCATCCGAAAAACTCATTCTCGCTTGGCTGTTAGTTCAACGATTACATTTCATCGAAAACGATTTAGCACTATTTTCGCAAACATCTATGGAATTAATATTTAAAACTCCTCCAGATCCTTCGAGGTATGAATAAAAAGAACTGCAATAAAGACTAGAACATAAATTTTAGTAAAGTCGGAAATGTCTGCTTGAAAAATCTTTGATCCTTAATAAAATAACTTCAATAAAAGATCGATGCTGTTTAGACAAAAACGAAACTTATACGATCCAATATCACGCCAGGCGAGAAGGGATTCGCTAGCATCGATTCCACAATAATTTATGCGACAGCACCCAACAAACAAGAACAAATGAAAACTGTATCACCTTCTGGCTCCTCTTAGATTGTTTAGTTACCTCGCGTTACCATTAATTCACTTTACAATCGCGAAAACGTACGTTTCGCGTTTCGCTCGCGAGTATCGAAGATATCTCCGACAATCATTTATTTTTCTCGCTATCAACATGCCCTGTCTGGCTATTCTACGTGTAACAGTAACAGCTTCAACAAACCGCACTCGACCGTGGAAAAGTTTCCCATCGATCGGAAATAGAACGTTCGACACAAGAACCCGAGCGTTTGCTTAACCGAGGGATAAGGTTTTGGCACTCTCGTTTCACTCGAAAAGAAACCACTCTAGGGAAGACGGGGCTGCACTAACGTCGGTTAGGCAGTAGGAAACCGTCGCTGGGCTTATCGGTCGCTTTTCAACGGCGAAAAGATCGGCACGGAAAATCTCGGAATGAAATTCTGAACGCGGTTCTACCACGGAAATCCGACGGCTGACTGGAGAATTCGCAGACGTGCGCCTTTAATTTAAAGCCGCGGACCGTCTTCGAGCACACTGCATGTGCGCGTTTCTCTCCGATGTGTGGAGGGTACGTTGGGGAAGGTGTATCAATGATTGCGAGTGTTCTGGGGCATCAATAAAATTGTCGTCTATTCTCGGGTTTTCGGGATGGCATTGTTACCGCGCTGAGCGTTTCATGCATTTGTGGAGCACCGGAATGCGACAAAGGCGTGTATGTTAAACGTGTTTGTGTGGAATGTATACAATTGTGCAAAAGGAAATAATAATCCTATGTACACATATAATTATAACAATTTATAGAATACGTTCTACGTGGGTAACTTTAATATTCGAACTTTTAACAATATTTACTTTGTTATAATTTCATCTTTATCCTTTAACAATCTACAATATTTCTATAACTTTAAATTTGTGCAAAAGGAAATAATAATGCTATGTACACATATAATTATAACAATTTATAGAATACGTTCTACGTGGGTAACTTTAATATTCGAACTTTTAACAATATTTACTTTGTTATAATTTCATCTTTATCCTTTAACAATCTACAATATTTTTATAACTTTAATATATACTCTTTATAATTTTTACTTTGCGTCTATTTCCTTAGGATGAAAGATGAAGTAATTGACGGATACATTGCATTGAAACATTAATTTTAGTTAACAAAAGTATAATAAAGTTTATATATTTTGTATTTAGCTTCCTATGTAGTTTATGTATCTAATTTATGTATTATGCATTATCTAATTTTGACGATACTTTTGTAATATCAGGACACTTTACAATTTTTACTTTGTCATTATTTCATTACTTTATCTGAGAAAGCAGATGTATGAATATCACTAAATCATGTGTCTGGTTAACTAAAGCAGACTTCACGTACTTTACTTAAATTGTTTCTCATAAAATAAGTCTCAAGTAAAACAACATGTTCTATACATTCGTATATATACTATATATGTAAAAGAATATATAATTTAATTTAAAAATTAAAATTAAATATGTAATTTAATTTTTATTTTGTTGCTTCGTAACTTTGTCTGCAATAAC